CCCCTAATTCTAAAGCACTAACTTTAATATTTAGATCCCCTAATTCTAAAGCACTAACTTTAATATTTAGGTCCCCTAATTCTAAAGCACTGTAAGCTGTTAAAGTATTAGTTTTAGTTCTGGTCAGAACACATTGAGATGTATGAATATTTGTAAGATTCATGTTTGATGAACTGAGACATGTTTTCCTGTTTCTCATCTGTTGGTATCAAACACACACGACTTTCTGACAGTTTTATAAACATTAGATAGATTATTACACTCTAAAATATTAATAACAAGTTTGTTTATATTATTATTATTGCTTTTAATGATTTCTACATCATCAATTCCACCCCCACCCCGGCTCCACGCACTCCAGATGAARCTCCATGTCACATACTCACTTTTATTCTGAAAGGTCGCCGGAACTAGCACATAACATCTGACGCAATGTCAGCTAGCTTGATGCTAGTTAACGACGGCTTGTGTTTCGGGTGGCTCCGCCTCTGTCCTCCCGTCAAAATTCGGCTGTTTTCGTACAAGTGGAGGAGGAAAAGAGAGAGTGGGTAGACTGATCGGACTGACGACGAATAAAGTCATCGCAAAATATACATCAAAGCCGACATTTGGAGGGAATCAAAGTGAAATCTCTCGGCGACGACTCTGCTTACAGGTGCCTTTCCCAGCAGTGAAACCACAACGTTAGTTCGGACAGAAGAGAGGTCTCCTCCCAGTCTGTTGACGGATCCAGTCTGGTTCCAGAGAAAGGAAATAACTCGATCTGACTGAACATTTCACCGGCCTGGTAAGACTGCTTCAAATGTTGGAATTTAACATCAACACTGAATTTAACATCAACACTGAATTTAACATCAACACTGAATTTAACATCAACACTGAATTTAACACCAACACTGAATTTAACACCAACACTGAATTTAACATCAACACTGAATTTAACATCAACACTGAATTTAACACCAACACTGAATTTAACACCAACACTGAATTTAACACCAACACTGAATTTAACA